TTGGTGGTGATGCCAACGATGGTGATGGTGACTGATTAGGAGGATCCTCCCCCTTCCCAGAATGCTACATCTTGAGACCTGTTCTCCTTTGGCCATGTTAATGGAGGAATAAAGTCAGGTAGTACAAGCACTGTGGCCGGGGCAGGCGAGCAGGGAGGGCCTTTCATAATGTGCCATGCAGATAAAGTAGGGGTAGTGAGCTCGCTGGCCCCCGGAGGCCCGCCCCACCAGCGGGTGTCAGCCAGTGGGACTTGCAGGAGAGAAGGGTGACCGATGGTGGCCTCCGGAGGGCTGATCCTGGGCTGCCCCCTTCGTAGCACAGGCGTGCTCTCCTCAGCTGTGTGGCTCAGGAAGCCAGCTCCTGCTCCCTCCTCTGAGCTGCCTGCGATGCCTCACCCCTTGGCTGTGCACCTGCCAAAGGCGGGGAGGATCCCAGGTGTGGGTTCAGAGGAGGTGGGGGCGGGGGAAGAAGAGCAATGAGGTGCCCAGGCTCAGCTGTTCGGTTCTGCTTCATGAAGAATGAGGAAGAGGAGGGGAGGAGGGGAGGAGGGGAGAGAGGGGGGGAGAGAGAGAGCGTGAATGTGAACCTGCAGAGAGTTCTGTTACGGTACAGTGACCCTGCCCACGGGCGAGTCGGTCCCAGTCTGGGGGCTCCACTGATCCTCAGCCTTCCGTGGCTGGTGGCTGTGTCCTACCAGTCTCTGCCTCCCCCTTCACATCTCCCTTTGCTTGTAAGGACACAAGCACTAGATTCGGGACCTGCCTAACCCAGTGCAGCCTGCGCGTGACTAAGTCTACAGAGACCTTGTTTCCAGATAAGGTCGGCTTCCTGGGTACTGCCCCTGCACGGACACAGTTCAGCTCCCTCCATGGGCCCGACAGAGCCCAGAGACTGGCAGGGGATCAAATCGTTCATCCCTTTACCTCCTCAGTCCTCCTGGAGCTGTGAACACGGCTCTGTGTCCTGCCGCCTTTGCCAGGACGAACCTTGATGACCGATCGCTGCTACCTGCCTCCTTTGTGCCCATTGGAGAGAGGCTTTCTTGTTGATATTTTAACGTGACCCCAATGCGACACATGTGTTCATGTGGTTACTGATTCAGTAGGTGCACAATCAGAGGCTTGGGGGATGATGCCAGCACAGGTGGAGAACTTGGCTGTCATTTGGCACTCATCGAACTGGAGATTCAGAGTGATCAGAGTGTGAAAACAGAATTGGGTCCCGACTGAACAGCCCCTGCAGACCCGCGTCTGCACTGGAGCTCCTGTTTGGAACCCGGCTTCGCTTCGACAGTCTGGAAGGTTGGGTTGGCCAGCAAAGCTCAGCCGTGACCACCACTGCCTGTGGCTGCAGGAGTGAGGATCAGGCCAGCTCCTGTCTGTGCTGCTGGTCTGAATTAAACTTGTCACGGCCGGTGTCTCTGGACGCAGATGCTGGGACAGAATCTGGTGAGGAACGTGCTCACCAGCGTGCACAAGTTAGCAGCCTGCCGCTCAGCACCAGGCTGGCATCCGAGAGCGTGGATTTCAGGGGCCCCCACCCTGCCCCACCCTGCTCCGAGTGGCTTCCCGGGAGAAAAGGGTTTTAATCTGTACGCCTGCTTTCCTTCTGGGAGTCTGCAGGTCTGGTGCCTGCAGGCAGAGGGCCTGAGCGACAGCCCTGGGCATGATTAAGCCTCCGCGAGTCTCCCGGGCCGACCACGCTTCACGAGTGTCGTTGCTCCTCGCTGCTGGGGGAGCCCAGCTGTCACAGCCTCCCCTGGGAGGGGCCTTGTAGAAGCCCAAGCCTGGTCTCCCTCCGACTTGGCCCATGCATCTCTCTCTGTTGTGATTTTCCCTTGCAGCTTTGTGTTGCTGTGGTAAATCACGGCCAAGTGTAGGGCTAAGTGCTGCGTCCACAAACCTGGGGGTGGTACTGGGGAACCCCTGGCATAGTCAGTGCCCCCTGAGACAGGGAGGGAGGAGGTGGAGGAGGTGGAGGAAGAAGTCGCTTGGGCTCCATCTAGCGGCCTCAGCCAGCCTCGTGGGGGAGCTTGGGAGCAGGTGCTGCCTGTCGGAGGGCCCCTCTCCATGGGAAGTGGCTGGCTGCCGCGCCCCGCCACGCTGTGCCACCGTCAGAGCCGTTCTGGGGAGGGTGCAACCTCACGTGGGGAAGCTCTCTGCAACAGGTTCTGACCCTGACGCTGAACGCTGAGTTCTGCCATCACTGCCCCAAGTTGGCCCCAAGCCCCTCCTTGAAGGGGGATCTGGGTGGTCCATCACTGTCTGCCAATCTTGGCTGAAAAATTTATCAACATTTTTTTTCCCTATACAAGTAATACATGCCCGTAAGAAAGATGAAAAGCCTCACACTCCACATGGTTCTGGAGTGTTTTCATGCTATACACCTGTGCACTAGGCGCCCGCATCATTTTTACTTTAGTGAAATTGGGATTCTATCATGTACACAGTTTTGTATCTTCCTTACAAATGTTACTTTAGGATATGAGCATTTTTTATATCATTAAAAATCCAAAAATCTTTTAGATGATTGAGTATTCAGCATGCCAGGAGAAATAGGAAAAATTTAAAGCACTCAGAAAGCAAAACCAGATCTTTCTGAAAGGTCAAAGGCATAGTTATGTCCCAAGACAGTGTAGTGGCCACCAGCATTCTGGGGGAAATGATTTTGACCTTGGAGTTACATACCCAGGCAAGCCATCAATCAAAACCAAGGGGAAGTGGCAACATTTCAGATATGGGAGAAAAGAACATTGTTTCTAAATAAATTTACTTGAGAATAAATACAGTGTTGCACTCCATCAGGATAAAGTATCCAAGAGGAAAGAAGAAAGGAAAGTAGTGTGGTTTCTAAGTGAGGAAAAAGCTCAGTGTGACAGCTTTGCAGCTGGGCTAAAAAGTAACCAGTCTGACGTGGGTCAGAAAGTCAGAGACTCTGGGAATACTGAGTTTTAAGAAAAAGTTCATTCCCTGTAGAGATAGCAGCATAAAGAAAATGAGCAGGTACCAGGAAGAAAAAGGCAATAGGAAACTCCAGGAAAAACAAAAGTTTCACGAAGAGGTGTTGGTCCAGATTGCATTAGAAATATACTCCGATCCACGGCAGACAGGAGCAGTTAGTGGCCTAAGATTACTCAAAGTGACTGGCATCACAGTGAGTTGTCTGGATTGTGGTTGCAGGACAGAATACATTCGCTGAAAACCTGAAGGTTGCAGAAGTGGGGAAGGAGACGGACAGCTGTGGGCACCCAGCGAGATTTATTCCCTGGACTTAGCATCATAAAGATCGAGGCTTAAGTTTTTAATTTCAAGTTTAAGGTGGTGGCTGATTGACAATTAAAAACAATAGCAAAATTGGGAAAGGGAATGTAGAGACAGATCTGTTGGGTAACAAAGCCTATAAATGCATGGGGTTAAAAATGGGGCCTAAATCCATATCTGTCATAGCAGGAATTCAGGACATAAACCCTTATCTGTCGCAGCAGGAATTCAGGAAATGATATGTAACACTGACAGGTCGAGAAGCAGAGAGGCATGCACACTTCTTAGAGTACTGAAGGTGACTGATCGGGCCGGTTAACTAACCCACCAACTCCAAGGAGCCAGTGGGAACCACGTACCTCTGGGAAGTTGGGTGGGGGAGGGAATGCAGGGGAAGCCTCCCTTGCATGGGTGTGGTACTCTACTCTTTAATACGAGGATTTTCAAAGAATTCACGGGAAGAGGAATTTTAAAATAAGCTTATTTTTGTGCAAACATTTTTTGAAATCCATGCATGTAAGGGGCTTCAAAACGCTCATGGGAAAATGCATGTGATGAAAAACAATGCACAGATCTCCATTTCCTTTGCACCAAAATAAGCTTGTTCTTTAAAAATTTATTTATTTATTTGAAAGAGTTACACAGAGAGGAGAGGCAGAGAGAGAGAGAGGTCTTCCATCCGCTGGTTCACTCCCCAAATGGCCACAACAGCTGGAGCTGTGCTGATCCGAAGCCAGGAGCCAAGAGTTTCTTCCGGGTCTCCCACACGGGTGCAGGGGCCCAAGGACTTGGGCCATCTTCTACTGCTTTTCCAGGCCATAACAGAGAGCTGGACCAGAAGTGGTGCAGCTGGGACTCGAACCAGCGCCCATGTGGGATGCCGGCACTGAAGGCAGTGGCTTTACCCACTGCGCCACAGCGCAGGCTCCAGCTTATTTATAAATTGTTTCCCATGAGCGTTTTGAAGTGGCTGCAGGATTGCACTCCACGCAGGTGGAATAATCTGTGGGAACGCACAGCTCTCACCCTGCTCCGGGCAGTGCAGCGTTCAGGGTGCTGAGCTCCGGGTGTCCACTGAGTCACCCGGGTCGCACCCTGAGCCCCGGCCTGGCACACACATAAGTCTTTCGCATATTCTGATCCACCCACCCTTACAGTTAAGCTTTCCTGCGTGTTTCTTGGGGAGAATTCGGTGAGCTGATCCTCGGGTCTGCGGCCGCCCTGGGGAGCTGGTTGGGAACCCCATCTCAGGCCTGGTGGGGGCGCAGTGGGTCGGGCCGGGGGACCTGTGTCTCCACTCTGAGGCTGGGCAGCTCTGAGAGCACAGCTTGGCCAATGCTTAGCAGGATGCCAGCCTCTGAGGTTGCTCCGATTGGTTCAGGTGCTGAGGAGGAGGAGGGAGGGTGGACGGGGAGCACCTGGAACGCACCTGCTCTTCCCAGATGTTGCCTGGCATGGGCTGTGAGTGGACCCCGCCCCCAGTGCCAGCTGTGGCTGGCCCGATCTCAGAGGAGGCCATTGCCCAGGGGTGCCTGCTGCCCAGCCCGACCCGGTCCAGCGTCCCCTCTGGCCTCCGCACCTGTCCCTGTGCCCCTGTGGGTTTGGCCTCACCAGGGGGCGCCTCTGGCAGAGCCGGCTGGACCCTGGGACCTTCTTCCCAACTGAGACCCCCGGGCGCGCCCTGCCTGGGAGACGGCAGGTGGGCCGCAGGTGAATCCGCTCTGCCTCTGTCCCCACAGGTTCTGCCCAACCACGGGCTCCACGCTGCCGCGTTTTTTGGCGCCTTCGTCGTGTCATTTGTGCTGAGCTGGGCGGTGCTGTTCTGGGCGGCGAGATGCTGGTGTCTGAAGGGAGGCGCGTGCACCAGAACTGGGGTGAGTGTGCGGCAGGGCGCCGGGCGTGGCCGGGGCGTGGTGGGCGTGGCCGGGGTGTGGTGGGCGTGGATGGCCAGTGCTGGCGTGGGGGGTGTGGCCGTGCATGGGCTGCTGGGGGACCTGCTGGATGTGGGTGTGGGGGCATGGCCGGCTAGTACAGGCGTGGTCATGCATGGGCTGGTGGATGGTGCAGTGCCTGAGGATGTGGGTCACCTCTGCCACTTTCTGGCTGGGGGCGCGTGGTGGATTTGGGCTTGTTCCCCCGTGTGCCTGCCACTGCTCTCTCCCCTCCTCCATTCCCATGATCCTCCCCTGGAAGTCAGCGCAGTGGGCACTCCCGCTGGGCCAGGGCCCACTCTCCGGGCTCCCCAGCAGCTTTCCACGCCACATCTGTCATAATCCGCCGGCCCTGACTGTGCACTCCTGCCTCTCTGTCTGGGTTCCCGCAGAAGCATGCGCTGAGACCAGGATTCAGGTTCACGGAGTTTCTCTGGGAAGCAACACCTGGAAAGATGGTGGAGGGTGGGGAAGGGAAGCAGGGAGGTCGCCAACGCCACAGGGCGCCGGGAGCACCGTCCGACCAGGACCCCTGGAGGCCGTGCAGAGCCGGCCTTGAGTCAGGGCAGGGTATTTATCCCCCATCTGTACTTGTCTGAGGACAGGGCTGGCGGCCAGGAAGAAGGTGGCACTGTATCACCAACTTGGGATGGGAGGGCCATTAGGATCCTTCCAGAAGGAAGGTAGCTGTTGGCTGATGGACCTCCGGCTGCCGGCCATAGCCGGGAGGGGATGCGGCGAGGACCGGTGGTGGGAGCTGCATCCCCGAGGCTAGGAGGGCGCCTATCCTGCGTGGATGAAGCGTGGGCGTCTGGCCCAGCCGTGGGCAGTGGAGGAAGACGAGCCGGGCAGCACCCTGGAGCTGTTGTCGCTGGGCGTTCCCCAGGGCGCCCCTGGCAGGCTGCCTTGTTCCTGCAGGGCCACTGAAGACTGTGCTGGGACAGGGTTGTCACTCGGGGCCCAGGCCAGGGCAGGAACACACCCTCCTCCCCCCTCACGTGGATAAGCTGAGGTTGACCGACTTGCTGGAGTGTCCGAGCGTGGGCTGGGGCCTGGAGACCCCTCTCCCTGGACGCTGGGGCAGTGGAGGACATGTTCATCCTGTGCCTGCTTCCCAGAGGAGGCGGCCGTCTTCGCCCACAGGCTCCTTGGCAGGTGGAAGTGAGGAGCAGGTCAAGAGCCCACGTCGTACTGGGATCTGGGCTTGGTCTCCCCGGGGGCCACCATGTGGGAGAGGCAGAGGCCGGCACCTGCGGAGGAAGCAGCGAGTTTGACTTCCGGTCTCAGGGCCCAGGCAGTATTTTTGCCCTTTCCCTCACAGAGTGAAGTCTTTGCACATTTTCCTTTGTATTTTTGCCAGCAAGGCGGGGACCGGCGAGACAGGGGCAGCCTTGGGCGCTGCAGCAGCTTGGGGCCAGCGCTGCCCTGGCTCTCCTGGAGCCCGGAGGCCTTCCGTGGCGCGATGCCCCTCACCGGGCCTCAGTTTCCTTATTTGTCAAGCGGGAGCTCTGATGCTTTGTGGCTGTGACGGTTTCATGATGCGGAAGCGTTGCAGAAGGTTGGTGGAACAGTGGAAGGAGGAGATGAGTTTATTTCCATGCAAAAGTGTTTCTGAACTCCAGGCATCATTTTTGTTCATCAGACGTATTTTCCATCCGCTTCTTGAAAACTCTGGTGCACACATGCAAAGCTCCAAGTGACACTGGCACGGGATGGTGTCAGGGATAAAGCAGAAAGCGCGTCCGTGCAGCCAGGGGGTTGGGCGGCCTCTGCGTGCTGTCACCTCGTCCCCATCTCACACTGCGATCTGAAGGCAGGCAGATCCGAGCCTACTGTGGTTTTCCTCTGCCTGATGGTGGTGGTAGCGCCCGGGAGGTGTTTTCTGTGAGTCGGCACAGTCTGAACACAGCTTTCTGACGCTGCTCGGTCTAGCCACACGGCAAAGCCTGTGCTATTGGAATTGCGATCCCATTTCTTTGATGGGAAGATGGAGGCTCTCAAGGGGGCGGGCCAGCCTTCCCTCCTGGCCTGCTCATCGGCTGTTTCTGTGATTCGCCGGCAGGTGCAGCGCCACGGGAGCAAGCTGGAGCCCCCGCTCTTCTCCTCGGCCAGCGGGGTGAGCGAGGACCTGGCCCTGAGTGACCAGCTGGTGGACATCCTGGCTTCTGAGGACCCCGGGGGGATGCTTCAAGCCTTGGAAGAGTAAGAACTCCAGGTCCCCTGTGTGGCCACCCTGGTGGATGCTTGAAGCCATCGTGGTGTGCACGCTCGCCCCGGGTGTGTTTGTGTCGTTCGTTCGGTTTCTCGTTTACCCATCCCGAGCGGTTACAGTCACATAGCGGCTGTGCGCCAAACCCCGTGCCTGGCCCATGGGGACGCAGAGGCATACGATGGCGCTCTGCTTCCGAGGCAGGTGGACCTGGCCGGGTGGACAGAGCCACAGACGGAAGTGACCTTGAAGTCGATGAGCGCCACACTCCTGGGAAGCTGAGGGCCTGCTAAGCCTGGAGAGGGAGTACTAACCCTCCAGAGGGGCACGTTCCAACCGGTTCTTGAAGCTTCCCAAGTGGACCGAGCAGGGCAAGACTGCCCAGGCAGAGGGAGGAAGGGGCAGACGCAAGGACGGGAGCTGAGTGCGAGGTGTGCGTGCGTGTGTGTGTGTATGTGTATGAGTGTGTGTGCATGTGTGTGTGTGCGTGTGTGTGTGTGTGTGTGAAGTGTTGGCTGCTCAGTGGGACTGCGTGTGCGTGGGGGTGTTGAGGATGGACAACAAAAAGGCAGCTGCGGAGAGGCCAGGCCGGGCCGCGTGCTTGTTTGCTGGGCTGGATTTAGTGCTTTCTGTTTATTGGTGAAGACTGACCGGGGTCGCCCGTGTGCCATAGGCCGTAGCGCCAGGCGCCTCTTGACAACTTCTCTGGGCAGCTCCTGCAATCCTCCTCACAGCCTGTGGGTGGCATTGCCGTTCCTCCCGCTTACAGACGGGGGCCTGGCGGTGAAGCGCCTCCCCAGGGGCACAGGGCGCTGAGCAGCAGGCCGGCTCTCAGAGCCAGCGCCCTGGCCGGAGCGTGGCCGTGCCCGCGGCTTCTCCCGCCGGCTGGCCGCCCTCAGTAAGGACCTTCTTTCCTTCTGGCCGGTATTGACAGGTGACTTCTTTTATGTTCCTTCTTTTAAAGATTTGTTTATCTGAAAGGCAGAGCTACAGTGAGAAAAGGAGACAGAGAGAGAGAGAGAGAGAGAGAGAGAGAGAGAGAGAGAGGTCTTCTCTCTGCCGGTTCACTCCCCAAATGGCTGCAACAGCCAGGGCTGGGCCAGGCTGAAGCCAGGAGCCAGGAGCTTCATCAGGGTCTCCCACGCGGGTGCAGGGTCCGCAGGTCTTGGGCCATCTTCCGCTGCTTTCCCAGGCCACAGCAGAGAGCTGGATCAGAAGTGGAGCAGCCATCCCTTTGAGAGATGTTTCTTTTATTGTTAACTTTTTTATTTATTTTATTTATTTTTTACCATTTCCAGTTGTCTGTCAAAATCCTCCAGCTTATCTTTCATTCCCTCAAACATTTTTAGTTGTTAATTTGTTGGTCGTGTTTATTTGAAAGGCAAAGGAACCGCAGTGAGGGAACTTCCATCCGTTGGTTCACTCCCCAGATGGCTGGGGCAGCCAGGGCTGGGCCAGGCCCAGCAGGAGCCAGGAGCTCCACGCGGTCTCCCTTGTGCCTGACAGGGACTCGGCCCTTGAGCCTTTGCCGGCCGCATCCTGGGTGCCTTGGCAGGAAGCTGGATTGGAAGCAGAGGCAGAGGCGGGGCCGGATCCCAGTACCGCAGTGCAGGACGGGGCATCCTAGCAGCGGCTAACCCCCGCGCCCCCCCCGCCCGGTGCTTCCCTTCTTAGGTGCCTGTTGTCTGTCGCTCTTTGGTTTGATCAAGCTTTCTTTCCTCCCTGCACAGGTGTGCCAGACATTGTGAATGAGCAGCCAGAAGGCAGATGGGCACTGGGCAGCCAGGGGTGCAGCTGTCCTGGGTCCCCTATATCCAGGCCGGGGCTGGGATCTTTCCAAGCTGGCTTCGTTTGCTGCCGACCGGAGTCTCACTTGGTCATAACTGATGGTTTTTTACTGTGACTTCCTTTGCTTCCTTGTGGGACTGCTCGTAATTCACAGCGGGGCCACGTGGGAGCACTCACGTGGATTCCATTTCCCAGAAACCTTTCTGATTCGTTTTATCTGCGCAGCTCCCAGTGGGGTGGAGTCGGCACGATGCTGATAGACTGCAGTGCCCTGTTCCCGTGTTACGTAATGTTACGTGTTGATGCCACATTTCAAAAGCACTCTGCCTCGCGGGGCTTCCGTTTGGTTCTCATCGCAATGCCCCTGGGCTGGGCCTCCTGTTTTCAGCATTGGCCGGTGAAGAATCAGGGGCTGAGCCAGCTGAGGGGGTTTGACTGTAGTGAGTGCAGAGCAGCCGTGGGCGCACTTGATTTTACAGAATTCTCTAAGCCTCAGTTTTCCACATCTCTCAAATGGGCACGCCATAACCTACCCCCTTGGGCTGCCGTGACGTTGAACTGAAAGATGCTCAGCCTGGGTCAGCCACTCGCAGGTCCCAGAAGCCTTTGCGACGGTCAGTGCTGCCTTGGTCCTGTCGCGAGAGCCCTGGGAAGCCCACTGAGGGTGGGAGAGCTTGGGAACGAGATGGAGCCGCTGCCCAATCCCGTGTTCCCGGATGCTGGAAGCGTGCTGTGTGGTCTCCGGAGAGACGGACTCAGGATGGGCCCAGCGCGGGCCCTGCTGCTTGCCTTGGCGCAGTGACGAGTCGCTGTGCCTGACAGCGGGCACTCTGAGTGCTGACGGGTGTTCCCGGGAGAGAGGGACCCATCCCGCTGAAGAGGGGCTCCTTCCTAGGGAGGAATCTTTGTGAAGGCCAGGCCCAGAGCCCCCCCGGGGACACGGCTGTGGCTGCCCCCCAGGGGCACGGCTATGGCTGTGACCTTGCACCAAGGTCGGAATCCAGGCGTCTTAATCCGTTCCTGGGCGCCGAGGTTGCGTGGTTTGGCGAGTTAAGTTTGTGTGCCATTCAGATGTGATGCGTCATTTTAGCCTAGGGTGAAGCTTGCCAGCTGGGTAAGGGGGCAGCCTGGGAGTGTGCGGGCAGGCAGCAGGGAGGAGCTGCTGGCCGATTGCTGGGTGTCACTCACGTTGAGTGTCTCCAGCAGAAGGTCAGTCGTTTTCTGGAACGAGAAAGTGCAGAGTGAAGTGACTTGGTGTGGGATCAGTTCCTGGAGATTTAATTTGCACAGGCAGCCTTCGTCCCCGGGCTGCATCCTGAAGAATGGCCTGCTGAGTAACTTCAGCACTGTGCATGGAGGTGGTGACACAGCGCTGGGCGCAGTCGACTTACGGGAGCACCGACACATCCGGGGACTGTCGGGTGGAGCACCGTTGTACCCTGCACTCTGCAACCGTCTGAGCCGAGGAAGCAGCCCTCGGCTACCACGGGAAGGGGCTCACCCTGCTGCTTCTGTTTTGGGTTCAAAAAAGCCCCAGAGTCCCAGAAGCCAGGTCTTCCTGGGCGGTCCCACTGTGTGAAGTTGCAGCCAGCCCCAGGGTAGCTGGTCCTGATGTCTCCCCGCCCAGGAGTGGAAGGGGACCCCTGACTGCGCTTCTGGCGGCTGGGGGACCATCTGTTTCTCCTCGGAGCTGGTCTGATGTCGTGCGGCAGGGACTTAAGGCTGATGCTCAGAAGGCCCGAGAACCCCTTCCTCTCCAGCTCCGCTCTCGGCTCCCTGGCCCAACATTCAATACTTATTGAACACTGATTCTTTTTCAGACACCACGTGGCTGGAGACTCGCTTTAGGGACCTGTTTTTTTAATCATCGCATTGTCGATTGATTGCGTTTAATCGTTCCATCTTGATGTCCTGAGGCTTAAAAGCTCTCCGAAAGAAAATGTCACTCAGACTGTCGGGGCTTATGTGCCTGCAAATCCATGACTGGCTCCCCACTAAAACTAGCCGCTTTTCCTCCAGCGAATCATTGATCCTGTTGGTGACCCTGCGGTGCGGTTGAGCTCGGGTTCTCAACGTGCTGTCAGGTGGCGGCATTGCCGCCTCGCGTCTGAGCCCCTCAGAGCCACGCGGTGTCCTTTCTTGCTCATGTATCTTGGGCAAAGAGCACTTCCCCGGTTTGCTTGGCTGCGCCTTCTCCATCTTGTACTCAAAGGCTGCCTCTTACAGAGATGTGGGGGGAGGGGACATGCCCTTCGATTGTTTTCAGCATCCTGACTACTGTTGTAGCGGAAGGGGGCTCAGCCCCTGCACCTGCTGGGCCCTGGCGGGAGGAGGCGCTGTGCAGGGCAGGCCGCCGAAGCTTCTCGAGGCGCAGGGTGCTTCAGCCCTGCCCTGCTCGCGGCCTCGCCCTGCCGCACCCCGCAGGCCTGCGGTCTCACTGCCTGCAGCAGGGGGAGGTCCTGGGCTCGCGGCAGTGTATGTGCTGAAGGTCACACAGGGGAGTGGACTTGGGCCCAGGCCTGGGGGCTTCAGGTCCACGGTTCTGTTGCAGGGAACAGAGCTTAGGTTTTGCAGAGACAAAGGAAGTCGGGGAGAAAGTCCCGTGCTTGTTTCTGCTGTCACGGGGGGCCCACCGCTCTGTGTCCACAGCTGTGATGGGGGGGCTCACCGCTCTGTGTCCACGGCTGTGATGGGGGGGCTCACTGCTCTGTGTCCACGGCTGTGACGGGGGGCTCACCGCTCTGTGACCACGGCTGTGATGGGGGGGCTCACCGCTCTGTGTCCACGGCTGTGACGGGGGGCTCACCGCTCTGTGTCCACGGCTGTGATGGGGGGGCTCACCGCTTGTGTCCACGGCTGTGATGGGGGGGCTCACCGCTCTGTGTCCACGGCTGTGATGGGGGGGCTCACCGCTCTGTGTCCACGGCTGTCACTGGGGGCTCACCGCTCTGTGTCCACGGCTGTGATGGGGGGGCTCACCGCTCTGTGTCCACGGCTGTGACGGGGGGCTCACTGCTCTGTGTCCACGGCTGTGACGGGGGGCTCACTGCTCTGTGTCCACGGCTGTGATGGGGGGCTCACCGCTCTGTGTCCACGGCTGTCACTGGGGGCTCACCGCTCTGTGTCCACGGCTGTCACTGGGGGCTCACCGCTCTGTGTCCATGCTGCAGCATTGCCCCCGCGCTGTCTTGTGTGGAGTGAGTGGGTGTGGCACTGGGGCTTTCCAGTGTGTGAGTCGTGTTTCTGCGTGCCAGCCACGTGGAGGATTTCACAGCTCCCGTCCGCGTGCTGCCTGCAGACCCTCCGCAGGGGAGCGATTGTGTTGTTCATCTGTGGGACCCGGAATTGAAGGGAAGTGACTCGCCAGGCGCTCTTCAGCTCGGTCGCTCTTTGGGCTGCTCGATTATATGTGGCGCGTTTTAGAAAGTGACCGACCGATCGATCGATCAATTATGTTTTAGAAAGTGACCGATCGATCACGTTTTAGAAAGTGACCGACTGATCGATCGATCACGTTGTAGAAAGTGACCGACTGATCGATCGATCGATTATGTTTTAGAAAGTGACTGATCGATCTATTCTATCAGCAGACCTTTGCTGAGGATGGCGTGTGTGCCGAGCACTGCGGTAGGGCCTGGCTGGGGACTGCAGGCAGAAGGCGGGGTGTTTGTCTTCACATGACCCCTACACGCATGCACACGACATGCACACGTGTGCTCCATCCATGTCGGGAGTGCACACGGCACACACACGTGCTCCATCCATGTCAAGGGTGCACATGACATACACACGCATGCTCCATCCCTGTCGGTGTGCACACGACATGTACACATGTGCCCATCCCTGTCAAGCATGCACAAGCAATGTACAGATACAGGCCCCGGGGTGGACCTTTGGGCTGCTGAATTTTGACGCTTGGCTCTGGCTCCTGACCCCAGCTTCCTGCTAATGCAGACCCTGCGCGGCAGCAGGGATGGCTCGTGTCACTGGGTCCCTGCCACCCACATGGGAGACCTGGGTGATGTCCTGACTCCCAGTTTTGGCCCTGGCCATCCTGGGCGTTTGAGGAGTGACCGAGAGGACGAGCATTTCTATCTATATATCCATATCCATATCCATATCCATATGCTTATCCGTATCCGTATCTATATATCTCTATCTGTATCTGTATATCTAATCTATGTCTGTATCATTATATATCTATATCTGTATCTATATATCCATATCCATATGCTTATCCGTATCCGTATCTGTATCTATATCTATATATCTCTATCTGTATCTATATATCTATATCTGTATCTGTATATCTAATCTATGTCTGTATCATTATATATCTATATCTGTATCTATATATCTAATCTACGTCTGTATCATTATCTATATCTAATCTATCTGTTAAGTAAATAAACGAAGGCTAACTCCCCCTCCAGCAAGAGCAGGACAGCCAGCTGCGTGCAGGGGTAGCCGTGGAAGTCCAGCCGTGGGAGGCCAGCCGAGGTGAGAGTGTGGAGGCACAGGTGCTCTGCTCACCACAGCCGTGGGGGTTGCCTTCGTCTGGGGTCCTCCATGGGGGAGGTCGCGAAGCCGAGAGGTGGGGTGAGCACTTCAGGGGTGGGGCGTGCGCTGGCAGCAGTAAGGGACGTGCGCAGCGCAGGGTCAGAAGTGCAGGCCTGGGTGGCAGTCACTTGGGGCAGGGCAAAGCCGCCGAGGGCCTCCGCGAAGGCAGAGCTGCCGCCGGTCTGTATCCCCACACTCTCGGTCTCTGCCCTACACGCAGGGCTGCTGGCGTGCCTGTTCTTGTTGTATTCTGTCTTACCCACCTAGACTGAGCGTTCTGTTTGGGCAAGGACTGTCTCTGCTGCTCACTGCTTGAGCCCAGTGGCCCCAGACAGTCCCTGGCACATAGCAGGTGCCAGCACTCAATGAGTGGCTGATGGGAAGAAGCCAACAGGTGAAGTGAGAACCAGAGACCAGAAGGTGTGCAATATGTCTCTACCCAGAGACAACCCAGGCTGTTCCCAGATGCGACAGGCTCCCCACAGCTTCCCTGAGGATGTCCACTCTGGCTGGGACTCCTTGAACTTCGGCCAGGAGCCAGCGGAGGTGCTCCGTAGGAGCCAGGGCCATTGTCCATCGTGCTGGGAGTCTGTCGGTGGAGCGGGAGTGTGGGTTGTGGCCGTGACATCAGGTGCACCTGTCTGATGCTCCTCAATGAAGTACAAGGTGGGGATGCCAGGGGAGAGTAGGGTAGCAGGTGGGATAGCCTGGAATATTCCCGAGAGAGCGGCGAGGTAACTCACTAGGGAAGCCTGGGAGAACTGCCTGGCAGTGCGGAGCGCCGTTTTGTGGCCGGCCTGGCCTGGGGACTTCCTGTTGCGTGGACTGGGTGGGGGTGCAGAGGCTGCAGTGTCGGGGTGTAGAGCCCAGAGACTGGCCCTGGGCTGAGCAGCCGGTCTGCCGGCTGGAGTCCCACCCAGCTCTGCCTCTTACCTACTTACCTGGCGCTGAGCCAGTCGCCCTGCCTGTGAGCAGGGGTACAGTGCTGGCCTCACTGGGCTGCCGGAGCTGGCCCAGTGCTCTGCCCGCTGGGGGCTTTTCCAGGTGAGTGGGAGAGGGGCGGAGGGTGGAGTTAGTGTCCTGAGGCTGCTGTAGCAACTGCCACAGCCTGGGCAACTTCCAGCAGCTAAAACTTGCTCCCCACCCCACCCCCCCCGTGCTGGGGCAAGAGCCCAAGGTCAGGGTCACAGCAGTCAAGGTGTCAGCAGGGCCACGCTCCCTCTGGGGCCTCCGCAGGAAGCTGGCTGTGTCCAGCTGCCGGTGGCCGTGGTGCTCCTGGGCTCACGGCCGAATCGCTCTCATCTCGGCCTCCTCTTCCGTGCGCCTCGACTCTCCTTCTGCCCTGTCCTAGCTGGATGTTCCTAACGGGTCGTGGCCCCCTGGTGAAGCCAGCGTGATAGCCCCCGGCTGAGATCCACCACTTGGTGACATCTGCAAAGGCCCCATCCCCTTGTGAGGTCACGCTCACGGGGGCCCGGAGCTGAACTCTTGGGGTGAACACTATTCCAGACAGCGGGGGGCGGGGAGGGTGGTGTCACAAACACTCAAGAGAATGAGTGGGCTGAGCCTTGGGGGCTCTCCCTGTTGAGGGATCCACGAGCAGGGTTCTAGAACTAGTTCTGGAATGGGGCTGAGGCCGGCCAAGGTGGACAGTCACCCTCCCCCCACCTACTAAACTGTGGCTGGTCTGGGGCCCAACCTGGGGTCTTCTGACCCCACGCCTGGCTCTTGGGAGCCCCCTGGCTGCTAGACCACTTGGTGGACCCTGGCTCTGGATTACCCAAGGGGCCAGGGTGCCTGGCCAGGTTGGGAGGGGCTCTTCTCTGGCTACGTAGGAGCCACCTGCATCCTTCCTCTTCCCTCGGGGCCGAGCAGGACAGAAGCGGGGCCGTGCATGGGGCAGGTGCTCGTGGGATCCTTAGGAACTGACGGCTTCTCTCTGTGACGCGTGCTGGGTGTCCCACGGTTCTTGTGGGGCGACAGTGAGTTTTAGGAGCCCACAAATCTTGCCATGGGAGTCGCAAAGTATAGGGAGGCTTCGGGGGCAGGGAACATGATGGTGGCGGGCAGACAGCCCTCATAGGCCCTGGAGTGCCTTCTCACCCCCACCCCACGATTTAGCCCCCTCCATGTGTGGGCCTTTCCCACCTTTCTAGAAGGATCCATGACTGGTGGCTTCTGGGTAGCTCCCCCGAGGCAGCCTGTCCCCACCCCTGCTCCTTGCCCGGGGTTTCCCGGGAGGCGGTGGCTCCCGCCCCCCACTGGCAAGCTGGAGCAGGATTTACATGGGGGACATAGTGGGGACCCCTGAAGGGCAGAGCAAGGCAAGGCGACCCCCCCTCTGGTTGCCATGGCAACCTTCCAGCCAGCTTCCTGGCGGGGTGGGGGTTCTGGTAGAGGCCGTCCCTCTTGGAGGGTGTTTCCTGAGCGCCTTTTCCCACCACCCTCTCAGCTGTGAGGCTCTGGGGAACAAGAACTCCCGGTGAGCAGGTGTGGGGCTGCTCCCCCAAGTGCTCTCGGTGCTGGGTCAGGTCCGTGCACGGATGGAACGGGAGCAGAGGCACACGGCCCCTCCTCCCAGCAGCCACTTAGTGGCAAACAGGATGCCCGTGCCTGCCGGTAGGAGTCGCTCTTGGCAGGCTTGGGGGCCTGCCCTGGGCTGCCGTGTGTGGCGTTGATGCGACAGTGTCTGGCACCAGCCCACAGAGAGCGGCCGAGAGGTTGCCACGGCAACCCACTGCCTCACGCTCCCGTGGGAAGGGACCCGAGTTTTGCCTGCCTGCCTGATGACACTACCGTGTTCTTTTCTGCTTCCATCTCTTTAAGTGACCTGGTTGACCTCTCTGAGTTGTACCCAGGGGAGACCCAGGTGGTGCCCCCAGCGGCGCCCTGGTGCCAGTGGCTGGCACCCTGTGGCCGTGTGCATCCTTAAACGTCTCTGTCTCCTTGCATGAACAGTGATCGCTTCTTTGGGTTCTGTTTTGCTGCTCTTTCCCCACTTTGCAACGATCTTGGAGATCTCAGGACACCAGGGCCACAGGGCCCCTCGCCCTCTACGTGGCTGCGTAGTATCCCGGGAACAGCAGCAGTTGTGAGGGCTGTGCGGACTTAATCCATGCGAGACACTGCTCTGAGTTTGCACGTCTGTTCACGCGTGTGCTCCTCGGAGCCACCTCTGAGCTGAGGGCTCTTAGAGATGAAGAAACTCGGGGTTTAAGTCTCATGCCCCGGTCACGGAGCAAGCTGGCCACGCAGGGCATGCAGAGCCCCACTCTACATGGGCTGCACAGCTCCAGGGGTCGGAGGGACATGGGAGCAGCCGTCCCTGTCCCCCCACGTGGCTTCTGTGTTGGCTCCTCTGGTTGCCATCTCGGCTGATGTGGCAACAGACATTTGTACACTTAGGTCTTCACACACCTGCGCGTTAGGGGGTATTTTCTGGTGGGTGTTGTCATAGCGACCACGGCAACAGACAGTCCCCAGAGAGTGGTGGTCCCACTGTCGCACGCCCTTCTCCGCGTTCCTCTGGTGGGGAACAGTGCCGTCTCTGGGCACCTTTCTCTTACATGGTGTCTATCAGAGGGGCGGTGGGCCCGGGCTGGCCTGGGCGCTGTGTTGCCATCCCGCATTGCCCACTCCTGGCTCTGCCTGTGCTTGCTGACAGCGGGAGGGCATCCCCTAACCTGCCTGTGCCTCCCTGGTGGCACCTGCCCCGTGGCAGCCGCAGCCGCGGAGAGCTGAGCTCACGGGTGCTGGTTCCACTGCGAGTGACTCGCCTGTTTGCCGGCACCGTAGTTCTTGGCCCCGATCTCCCCGCTGAACTCTGTGGCTCACCTTGGTGGATTTGCAGAAATGGACGGCTGTCGCTCAGTGACCCGTGCTTCCTGGTCAGCCAGCGCTCGGCCGAGCACACCATGGGGTTATTCAGCCCTCGGCAGGCGGCAGAAGCTCCCTGAGCCCAGACAGGCGGAGTCCTGGCCCTGCGAACCTTTGGGTCAAGTGAGACAGGCAGCGAACCAGAGAACTGCCGGGGAAAATGCGTAATGACCTCGAAGGCGGAAGCTGCCAGCCGCCGACCCCTTGTATCTTGCAGTCTATCTGAGTTTCTGCCAATCTGAAAACTTGATGGCTTATCCTAAATTTTGCTGAGGTTTCAGTTCGATGCGCTGTTTTTATTCTGATTTAGCTTCCGATGATAACTTGGAAGGGAAGCTACTCAGAAGATATTTCCCCCTCCCCAGATGTGTCAGTGTCCAGGCCCTCAGACTGGCAGGACTTAAACAAGATTTATGGCTCCGGCGAGAAATCTTGCAGTTCTTGCTGTCTGTGCGTGGGAATCGGCTTCTGATGGGGGCAGTAGCAGATGTGCTGACAGAGTTGGTTCCTGCGGGTCTGTTACGCTACGTCAGCGAAGTGGAGATTGCCGGGTTTACCCTGTAGAGCAGTGGCCCTGGCGTCTTCCAGTCCCCTGTGCGTGACGCAGCGGATCCCTTGCCAGGTTCAGGAGGGCATGTACTGCCCGGTGTGGCCATTCTAGCCGCATTCTGTCCTGGCACCTTGCTCACTCTTGGGTGGGAACCAGATCGGTGTTTTTGTGGACTCAATCACAAAAAAGACACGGACACCACCCATCTTTTTGATCGCTGCTGGCTCATGACAGTGCCGACGAGGGAGGCTGCCCGTGGATGGTAGTGGCCGGGGCAGGGGCTTCCTGTGTGCTGGATGCGGTCCGGGCTCTGCTGCACGGAGGGTCACTGGCAAGGGGATGCGCCTGCACCTGCACTGGCCCGAGCCGACGCGTCCATCTTCGGAGCGCGAGTGAGGACGTGCTGGTGACCCTCCAGCAGGAGTTCTCTGGAGGGCGTGAGTCCTGCCGGCTTAGCCAGGTGGCTGAAGCAGTGAAGAAGTTGCAGAGTTACAGCCCAGCATGTGGGACTGATCTCACGGTGTCCGCGTGCCTCGTGGAGTCACTGGGGACCTGGCCGGGGATGGACAAACACGTGCATTTCATTGGTGTCTGAATAGTTTAAAACATCATGGCGGGGGGGGGGCATGGAAATTTGCCTCCTCCCCCATAGACTGAATGCATCCGGTATGTAAATGATGCTTTTTTATTATTTGAAAGTCAGAATTACATGGAGAGAGGAGAGGCAAAGAGAGGGAGAGAGAGGTCTTCCACCTGCTGGTTCACTCCCCAGTTGACTGCAACGGCCGGAGCTGCATGGATCTGAAGCCAGGAGCCAGGAGCTTCTTCCGAGTCTCCTACGTGGGTGCAGGCAGGCGGCAGGCCCAAGGACTTGAGCCATCTTCCACTGCTTTCCCAAGCCATAGCAGAGAGATGGATTGGAAGAGGAGCAGCCGGGTCACAAACCAGTGCCCATATGGGATGCCGGTGCTTCAGGCCAGGGCATTAACCCGCTGAGCCATAGTGCCGGCTCACATTCTTTTTTTTTTTTAAATATTTATTGTTATTTATTTGAAAGACAGAGTTACAGAGAGAGGTAGAGACAGAGAGAGAGGTCTTCCATCCACTGGTTCACTTCCTAGATGGCTGCAACGGCCGGAGCTGTGCCAATCCGAAGCCAGGAGCCAGGAGCTTCTTCCGGGTCTCCCATGTAGGTGCAAGGCTCAAGGACCTGGGCCATCTTCTACTGCTTTCCCAGGTCAGAGCAGAGAGCTGGATAGGAAGTGGAGCAGCTGGGACTCGAACCAGCGCCCATATGGGATGCCGGCGCTTCAGGCCAGGGCTTTAGCCCACTGCGCCACAGCGCCTGCCCAGTGATGCGTTCTCAGTGTGTGTTCGTATGTGCTGTGGCTGTTGGAGGAATTCACAGAAGAGTTCGCTTCAGGAGCAGTGTGGCGCTTTAATCCACGTAGAGGGACGTTTTTCTTGCTGTTGTACCTCGGGAACGGACAGTTCCTTTGCTGCCGCTCTGACGGTGATCCGGTGACCATGGCAATCAGCATGCAAGCTGTCAGGGCCGACGGCGCTGGGCGGCTGCCTTCTCCACTGTCACACCACTGGCTAGGACGCCGAGGAGCGAAGAACAAGGAAACCACTCCTATCGAGGACCCACAAGCTGCCAGGCTCCGTGCCAGGCATCCTGCCTTTCTCACCTCTTCTGACCTGACTACCCACCTGGGAGTGTGGCCCCTTTATGCTGGGGGCGGGGGGACCCCGGCCCTTTTCCGGGTCTCACAGCAAACCTCCGGGAAAGCCCCCAGTCCAGAATCTGAAATTGTCTGTTCCCAAGCATTTTGTTTTGTTGTTGAAAGCCAGAAGGGTTTCTTTGACACGGCCAAGAGCCGGCAGCTCCACAGAGGGGGTCCAGGGAGTCATGGCCTGTG